CTAGGTATTTTTACATATATCTAGGTATTTTCCATTGGTTGGTCTTCATTCCTAGAGATTCAAGTTTTCTTTTGGTATCATTTCCCTTCAGTATGAAGACTTGCGTTAGCATTTCTTAAAGATTGTCTGTTGGCAATTCTCAATTTTTCTTCATCTGAGAATGGTTTTATTTGCTTTTCCACAACCCACATGCTTTTATTCTTCAGTGTCTTCAGTTTATCTAGTTTTTAATTGTAATTAGCAGGAAGGATCTACACTGCTTTGCTAAACTGGAACAATAAAAATGTGATTTTTTTTTAAATTTTTATATCTTGTCATTTCTATGGCAAAACATATTGCAAAATTAGAACCAGAGGGTATATGGAGTTTTTACAAGGGCATGCTTTCAGTTGCCCAGGAATACTCTTTTTCAATCACTATATAAACAAATAATTGCAGAGGATGATAAATTCAAGAAATACACTGACTCAGTTCATTAGACCTCACTGGTAAGCATTCTCTGATACCTTCTGTGACTAATTATTGCAGCTCCTTCACTTGGTAGCACCCAGTCCTTGTATTGTCATGCCTCATCTTACTCCACTGTTAACTTAGTCTACTGCTGACTTACTTGCTTCCGTAGAGATTTAAACCCCGAGCTCCAGCAGAGTGATCCCATCCATCTTTACTGCTACACTCCCAGGCACACAGTAGGTGCTCAATAAAGACTTCTTGAATGAGTGTATGCTGATCCTAGCACTTCTAATCCCCCTTCCCTGCTTTTTCCTTTAGCTATAGCACTTATTACCATGTCAGATAGTTTATTATAATTATTGTGTTTTCAGTTTCCTCCCACCCCCACTGTAAGCTCAATTAGGGGAAGGATCTTTACCTGTTTGAGACACATTTGGCCTGGCACCTGACATAGAAGGTACTTAAGTAAATATCATTGAATGAATCATTGCAAATCAAAGGTAAGCAGCCCTTACTAATACGTACGATGAACCTGCAATAATTATTTTCTTTTTAACTCAAGGGAGTTCAGTGTATGCTGAAATTCTAGGACACAGGCTCTCTGTTGCTATCACAGCAATGCTTTCATACCTGTTCTCTTGCTGCCATTCTGGTTCTTGTCTATTCTCACTGCCTCCTCGTGAAGGTACTAGAGTTGACCCAGTGTGTCCCATGTGTTGAGAGCAGGGATTTCTTCCTTCTGGTCTTCCTTCTGGTAACTCTACCTTGGAACACATCACTGACAAACTTGTAAAGAGGGAAATTTTATAAAGATCAGGACCTGTCATCTCATAGACATAAGGCCTTTACACAAGCTAGCTAGACATTTTTCACTATGGAGACTAATGGATGAAATAGACTTCATGAAGCTTTTCTGCCATATTAAAGACTTAATATTCTGACAGGATGACCTGTGCTTAGGATGGTGTGTTCTGAAGTCAGACAGGTCTCCATTCAGTCTCCACTACGTATGCTGTAAAATGCTTAGTGTCCCAACCACATGGTAAACATAAGCAGAAAATACAGGTCATCTATTTTTCATGGGTCATTATGAGTCTTCTTTCCAGCCTTCCCTTTATTATTTTCTGTGCACCTAACATAGACATTTCAATGAACTAAGCTGCTTAGGAAACCAGGTGATGACTAGTAATGAGTTTATGGTTGGATACATATTTTGTATATTTTTAGTTTATTATAGTGAACACTAAGGGCCCAGTGCATGAAATCTGTGCACTGGGGGTGGGGGTGGGGTGGGGGAAGGTCCCTCAGCCCAGCCTGCCCCCTTTCACAGCCCTCAGGGGATGTCCTACTGATGTAGGAGGCAAATGAGCTGATCAGGGGAAGGCGCCAGCACCATCACCTGCAGCCACTACCAGCCACCGCAGGCGCCAAGGTGCTTTCATCAACACAGACTCCAGTCCCTTCACCATGAAAAAATGACAACTTTCTTTAGGCATTTTCAAGACATGTCTCTCATAGGATATGACATTTTTCTTTTTTTTAAAAAACTCACCTGAGGTTATGTTTCCATTGATTTTTAGAGAGTGTGGAAGAGAGAGGGAGAGACAGAGAGAAACATCTATGTGAGAGGGACTCTTTAATTGGTTTCCCTCTGCATGAGCCATGCCCTTGGTCAGAATAGAACCCGGACCCTGTGGTCAGCAGGCCGAGGCTCTAACCACTGACCCAAACTGGTGAGGGCAGGATAAGACATTTCCTTTTTTTTAAAAAATATATTTTATTGATTTTTTACAGAGAGGAAGAGAGAGGGATAGAGAGTTAGAAACATCGATGAGAGAGAATCATCAACCAGCCGCCTCCTGCACACCTTCTACTGGGAATGTGCCCAAGTAGATGCCCTTGACCGGAATCGAACCTGGGATCCCCCAGTCCGCAGGCCGACGCTCAGGATATGACATTTCTTAATCCCTCCAGCAGCGGACCTTTGTTTTTTCCTCCATGAGTGTGGTGGAAAACCCCTAGATCACCTTCTTGGATTCTTATAACCCAAGTTACCAAGAACACTGCAAGTGGTGACGTACAGGGAGCATAGCCAATGAGTGGTAAGAAAAAGTGTTTACACTCCAACTGATTTGACTCAGTGGATAGAGTGTTGGCCTGCAGACTAAAGAGTCCCAGGTTTGATTCCTGGTAAGGGCATGTACCTTGGTTGGGGGCACATCCCCAGTGGGGAGTGTGCAGGAGGAAGCTGATTGATGTTTCTCATCAATGTTTCTATCCCTCTCCCTCTTCTCTGTAAAAAATCAATTAATATATTTAACAAAGCTGCATTTCCTCTGCAGCTCATGTGTAGAGGACCCCTGCCACGGTCAGGTCCACACACCCCTGAGGCTGGCAGCCCCCAAGGCTGGCAGCCAGCCCCATGTTGTGGGTGCTGGTGCCTGTAGGCCTGGAGTGGTGGGGGGTGTTCTGGGACCCCAGGCACTTAGGGCCTACATGCGTGCCTACAGGCTAGGAGTGGCCTGGGTCCCGAGGATGTTCCCAGGACCCAGGCTGCTTGGCACCTGTGTATGCAAATTAACCTACCATCTTTGTCGGGTTAATTTGCATACTCACTTTTGATTGGTTAGTGAGCATAATGGAGGTACGGTCAATTTTACATGTTTCTCTTAAGAATATGAGACCTTACTGAGATTGTCTTAACTCAAAAGCCATATCCTATAAGACTTAGTTATATATTTTACTACTTCATTGATGTGCAAATAAAATCTATAATAATAAAAGCATAATATGCTAATTAAGCCGGACAAACTTCTAGTCAAAGCCATGGCAGCAGGAGCCAAAGCAGAGTCAGCTGCCGCCACAGCGGGGGACTGAGTCCCTTGCATGAATTTCATGCATTGGGCCTCTAGTTATTCTAATAAAAGCAGAATGTGAGAGGTGGGGGTCTATTACAGTGGGATTTCAAATATCTGGCTATGATGTTCTCTTCATAGCATGCTTTTCTTTAAGGGTGCCCAATTTCTCTCCTTAGCAATCTGTACTTCTATGCACAACTGGCACATTGGTGTGTGTGTGTGTGTGTGTGTGCATGTGCACACGCATGCACATGTGTACACATGTGCCTTTTTCCATTCTTAAGGATAAAAAGGTGCCATTGAACTCTTTAAATAGCGCAACACTATTTCCAGTCTCGTAGAACTTGGAAGGCACAGCTTTATCTGAGGATCTTGAATGGCTCTTCTCAGAGTAACCGGGGCTACGGAGAACGGTTTGTGGAGGGTGGCTCTCCATCTCAATGGTGAACTGGTAAACCTAGAAGGGAAACTTCCTGCTACAATAACACAGCAAGGCGATGTGATGAACACTTTTATTTACAAATATAATTAAAAGCTCTGACAGTTATCATGCTCTTCCTTGGAACCTGAAAAATGTTTGTTTGTTTTTTAAAGTGCATGCAAAAGAAGTAAAGCCTTTTTTTTTTCATCATTTTTTATTGTAAGAAAATACACAGTTTGAAAGTGTGAATAATGCAATATTTATGACCAAGATATGGGACTTCGGGAGGGGGAGGGAAATAAAGAAAAAGATCAAGATGATCTGATTGAGAGACAGTGTTGAACTCCAAATACTGAATTGGAAAAAGGAGGGAGGTGGGGAGGAATAGGAGGAGGAAGTAAAAAAATTTGATCAGAGAAACAGTTAAAATACAATATGAAAATAAGTAATACCTCTCCTTAAATTCCTTCTATACACAAAATACACGATTTGCCAAAGCCCAATTTGTGCTACTGGGATTCTGTGAGCTCCTTAAGTGTATTCACATCCTCTGCAACAGCAGAAAATGATTATGATACAATCAGAATATGCTGAAGACAAGTTAAACTCTTGCCAGCAGGTTCTTAAAAATCACAAGATCTCTTCACCCCACCCCCCACCCCCCATCCCCAAAAAAGTAATAATATGTCACCACTGATATGTACATCACAATTAGTTTCTGTAAAATGTATCAAATTTTCAATCTTTAATAAAACTTTGTTTTTTTTTTTTAATTCCTGATGAATAAATACCAAAAAAATAAAATAAAATAAAATAATGCAGCAGCTAGTTAAGGTGTAAGGCTGCGGATATTGTGTCTCTCTCCCCCTTGGCATTTATTATTATTTTTTTGCTTTACTTTCACAGATTGGTGGTAATGAGTGATTGCTTAGAGCAATATACGTCCACGTTTGTTGTTGGTTTATTGGTTTTTTAAAAACTGTCTCCAAAGTTTTCACTGAAACATTTTAAATCACATCAATACTGTGACGTGTACTATGAGTAGAAGATGGCCAGGCTTTGGCCAGCACTGAAAGTTGACACGGGGGGAGGAAGGGGCCCCTGATGGAGTAAGAATAAACAGGCACTAGTCCGACACGATGTCAGTAAGAGTAAGAGAGAGAGAGAGTGAGAGCAACGCCCGTTAAAATGGGGAATGTGGTTTTGCAGGGTCTGAATTTTTTTCTGTTTTATTTTTATTTTTTTGTAAATGGCAAAAAAATTTAATCTCATCTATAGTCCTCCTTAGGAAAATCTAATGTAACCAAATTCCCAAATCCCATTCTGAGGCTCTCCATGTCAAAAGTTTCAATCTCTCGCTCTTGCCTTTCCAATAGATACTTTATTCTCTCGCTGCGTTCCTTCTGAAGGGCAGCCAGCTCTTCCTCAATCTGAAATAAGCACAATGAGCAGATTGTTAATAGAAAGGACCTCCCACATGCACACATGCCCATACACCCACACATATGACACACGGACCCACAGGAACTCAGAGTAAACTATTAATATATGGGGGCAGGTGGGAGGGTCCTGTGGTATATGTCTTATATCTAATCCATTAAATCTAAAACTTGCTCACAAGAATAAAAATGCTTGGGGCCACCTGGGGCTATGGCACTACCATTCTAGCAAGCTAAGCAGCTGGGCTGATGGAGGTCAGTGTCCTGTCTCAGCGGGAGAAAACTCAGGAGAAGGTAAAAGACACTCAAGCACAATTAGACTGTGCTGCTATCCCACAGAGAGCCAAATGCCCCCTGGGTCATCAGCAATTTAGTTCTAGAAAGGAGCTGGCATGGTAGTCTTCATGTTGGTCTCAGGGAAGTACTGAAGTACAAATAACTGGTTCAGCAAATAAATGGTCAACAACAGCTTGGAGATGCTTTATGAAATCTTTTCCACTTCATATTTGAAGCAATGAATATTTTAATTCAGATAACATTTATTATGCATGGTAATATCAGCCTCTCTTCATTTCAATTTTTTAAAAGAGCCTTGCTGGTGATTTCTTTTCATTTAGAAATAGCTAAAAAGGAAAGCCAAATCTGCACTTGGCTTCCTCATGCCATTTAGCAGCCATGCTATCAGCTCGTAGTGCTTTTTACATGTCATATCAACTACCCAGTAATCTGTATTCCTCTGGCTAGGAAGGTGGGGGATTTCCTAGCAGAGTAATAGAAAGAGCTTATGATCTGGGATCAGATTTATGCAAGTAACCTAACCTTGCTGAGCCTTAGTATCCTGCCTGTAGAATGGAGATTATGCCTATCTCTCGGGTACTGGGATGTAGAAGCAGGTAGTAAGTGAACAGTGTCTACTCTAATCCCCCATTACACAGGCAGGGCTCAGTGAATGGCAGCTTCCTAGGCTGTGCCCCATCCTCCACCCAGCTGCACAGGCCCCAAAGGAACACTCTCATACCTTCTGCTCAAGATGTGCTCTGCGCAGAGACACCCTCTGCTCTAGCTTCTGGAGCTCACGTTCATGTTGTGCCTCTGTTTGCATCTTGATTTTGCTCTGATAGGCATTGAGCAGCTCCATTTCCTGCTGGAGCTGTAGCCTCAAGGCCTGGCATTCTGCTTCTTGAGCCTCATCTAGCCGTAACTGCGGGCACAGAAGACATACACTGTAATTCACGCCTCGCTTACAGCATGTAGTGACTACGGGAAGATGTTTCGGTGTTCGGATTTTAACAGGTCCTCTCAGAAAAAAAGAGATGCCCTGGGTACATCCAGAGTTAGGAATCAAAAATAGTACACTCAGCCCAATGGGCTACACACTTCTTAAAACAGTCTTCACACACACATACACACACACACACACACACACACACACACACACACACACACACACTCACATACACACCCCAGCAGGAGTTAGGAATGCTACACACTCCAGTGATTAAACTTGGGATCTTAGAGGCAGACGCCTGAGCCTAAACTGGAGCTCCACCATTCACTTAGGTGTGTCACCTTGGCAAGTTATGTAATCTCTCCCAATCTCTCTCTTTTTTTTCATCTCAGGAAAATAAATTCTAAACAACAAGTACCTAAGATTGGTGTGAAGATTAAATGAAAGAATCCATACAAAATCTTAAGGCGTAGTCCTTGATGTATATACCAACTATTAATAGTTATTGTTATTTTGGTTTTGACTAACCATTTCCATATTTAGATATCTTTATCCTAAAATCATAATACATTTATATAATCTTAGGTCTAAAAAAATACAATGAGTCCACTCGAGGAATACAACATAGTGCCGTTATGCTCCTAGCAAGTAATGTTGGTCCTTGTGGTTGGCTATGTATAGCCAGCCAACCTAAAACTCAAATGGCTCAAAATCTCTTCCCCACAGCAGGTAGCCTTGATCATCTTAAGGGGCACATCCTGATTTGAAGCAGTAAAGCCAGAGCATAAACCAGCCTGATCATTTCTCTCGCTTCCCTGTACCACCTAAAGTTTGTGTTTGTTATGCACGATGATACTGATCCTGTGTGGGGAATGGGCCCAGCCAGCCAGCAGAAATGACAATCTTTGGTGAGCATAGCTGAAGGTTTGGGCCACGAGCAGAAGTATGTTTAGGGATGATGACCCTCCTGTCTCAGGCTTGGTTTTGTCTAGATTTGGCAAGCCCTCAGTTCGGCTGGGAACTCTGAGATTAGAACCCTTGAATTAGACATTTCTACTGAGTTTATCAGCACATATCCAGACACATAGACCACTTTGCCAAGATAGCTATCATTCACCTTATGCTTCCTTCCATATCTGTACAATGTTGAGATACAAAGATGCATAAGACAATTACCAATATATCTCAATATGTTGATTGAGAAATAACTCTTTGAAATATTAGAATAGTTTTAGAAAGTTATTTGCATAGCACCTTCTTAAGTGCTTTTGGAGACATATACTATATAGCAAATGAATACAAAATAAATAAGGTAACCGTATTTCCAAGGTGCTTTCCAATAATTCATTTTAACCAGCTTTCACGGAAACCCTAAAGAGGATCTCTCTCATTTTCCTAGTGAGAAACAAAGGCAGAAGAAATACTAGACAAAAGAACAGACTATCTGCAGCAGGTACAGCCTTACCGATAAATGCCAAAGGGTTTACTGACCCAATGAGATTGTTATCAATTCCCTCCTGACATGGGAGGCCCTTACCAATAAAGGGAATGAAAGTCTGTTCATTTCTCCTCGTCTGTGTTAATTGCTATAAGCCCTGATCATGTGGGGAAGGCTTCTCCTGTGGGCACTGGAGACCACTGAAGAAACATCGCCAGCTCCTCTTACTTCTGGCATTCTATTATTAATGTCAGTAACTATGTTATTCTGTACCAGCTCTGACTCTACAAAAGTGCCAGTCTAGAAATCAGAGTATATTCCAGTATTTGCTATTGATCCCCCAAAGGCTACACATACCAAATCCATCACAACGTTTTATAAGTAAAAGTAGAGGTAAATATCATGTCTGTTTTGTAAAGTGAGTTAAACTGAAGAAAAGGATGTGATAGAGGCAGCATAACATAGTAGTGGCCAAGCACACAGGCTTATAAGCTCACCTGAAAATACGTTCAAATCTTAGCTCCTGCTCCAATTAGTCATGTGACCCGAAGTCAGGAGTTGGCACACTACAGCTCAAGGGCTAAATCTGGATTGCTGCCAGTTTTTGTAAATAAAGTTTTGTTGAAACACAGACATGCCCATTTAGTTTGTATTGTCCATGGCTACTTTTGTACTACAATAACAGAGTTGAGCAGTTGTGACAGAGATCCTGTGCTCCACATGTGTCTAAAATATTTACTACCTGCCCCTTTATAGAGAAAGTTTGCCAACTCTTGCCCTAAGCAAGTGGCTCTATTTAAATAAATATTAGTTTCCTTATAGGTAAACCAGGGTTAAAACAGAAATGACTTCAAAGGAGTTTCACAAAAATGAACAAACACTTAAAAAATACTTAAAATAATGCCTGGCACATGGTAAGCAGTCAGTAAAGGACTGCTGTAATGATCATCTATGTTTTTCTCTCCTTGCTGCTGCAGAGAAAAGGCTGTTTCCTTTTATCCAAGGGCAATCTTGAACCTACATTGCTCCCACCTTCTATAACAAGCGTTTAGTGAGCACTTGATGTATGCTAGGCATTGATGCAGATGCCGAGAGTACAAAGATGAACTAGATAAAAATCCTCTCAATCTTTATGTCCCTATCAACTCCTCCTCCTCTCCTTCCCTCAACCCTGCCCCCCCTCACCCATACACCGATCTTGCACTCCTCATTATGATCCTATTCCTCTCCTTATTTACTCACATCAAGGTCACTAATGAAGGCTCTTCCAAGCAGCGTTTGATAATATAGATTGCGCCTTTCCCCCTGAAATCTTTCTCTTATCTTCTGATACCACATACCCGCTTGGTTTTTCCCTCTCTCCTCTCCTTTTCCTGGCACACCTACCTTACTAGACCATTAAATATGGGTGTTTCTCAGGGCTTTGTTGTGACTACTCTTCTTTCACTAATCTTGCTTCCTAAGGAATCTCATCTATTCCAAAGACTCCAATTAGCATCTATAAGCAAATAGCTCCCACAGCTGTACCTCTTATTTCAGACTTCTCTTCTGAGGTCCACACTAGCTTATCACCTAGAAACATCTTCACTTGGATGTTTCCCAGGCCATCAAGCTCAACATGACAAATATTAATCATATTTCCCTTCTCCCTATCCCAATCTGCTCCACTTCCCTTTTATTATTTTTTAACCATTATAGGTAAATGGTAGTACCATCTACCATTTTGTTCAAACTAGAGACTTGGAGTCATCTTTAATACCTCACTCTCCACATTCAATCACTTTCTAAGTGCTTTCAAATCTATCTTTTGCCTATATCTCAAATTTAATCACTTCTCCTTTAACCCAGTGATCCCTCTCTGGTCTAGCTACCACTCCCTCATGCCCATATCCTTATAGATCCGCCCTTGCTATCTCTCAGGACATTCTCCTCATGTCACCAGAGTGATTGTTCAAAAAATGCAAATCTGATATTAGTCCCCTCCTTAATACTCATTAGTGGCTTCCCATTGCTTCTAGGATAAAGATAAAAATTCTTAAGAAAGTTTGCAAGCCCTTATATGACCTAGCCCAGTGGTCAGCAAAACATGGATCTCAAGCCACATGCAGCTCTTTGGCCCCTTGAGTGTGGCTCTTCCACAAAATACCATGGCCTGGGTGAGTACATTTTGAAGTGGCGTTAGAAGAAGTTCAAGTTTAAAAAATGTGGCTCCTAAAAGAAATTTCAACCGTTGTACTGTTATCTGGCTCTATTGACTAATGAGTTTGCAGACCACTGACCTAGCCCATTTACCCTCATCTTCTTCTCATTTAGGCTTTTTGGTTCTCTACGTTCTAAACATACTGGACTTGAATTCTAGAACAGTGCCACTGTCTTTCTCATCTTTAAAAATGCTATTCCTTTTGCCTAGAATGTGCTTCTTACACTTCAGTTTAAATGATCACTGTGTCTGAGACCTTTCCATGTCAGCCTACCCCTCCTGGTTTACACTCTATTAACACGCTGCACTTGCTCTGTCATTACAATGAATAGACTTTTCCTCCACTCTTATATCTGTTTATCTGTTTCCTCCACTCTTCTTCAGGTTCCATGAAGACACAACTGATGACTGTCTTATTCACCAGTGTCCAGGATGCCTGGGGTACAGTATATAAACATTCAATATATACTTATTGGACAAATGAATGAATGAATATACTGGCTCCTATCCTCAGCCTAAGGACATGTTTATTAAGCCTTTCCCAATAAACAGAAGTCATTCTTTTAACTGTGTGTTCTAGCTACAGTTCTTTCTCCTTTCCTCCACTTATAAAGATCTGGGAAAAGCATTCTCACAGCTTCTCTCTCATATAATAACTTTAAAAAAATGTATTTCTAGCCGAAACTGGTTTGGCTCAGTGGATAGAGCGTCGGTCTGCGGACTGAGGTGTCCCAGGTTCGATTCCGGTCAAGGGCAAGTACCTGGGTTGCGGGCACATCCCCAAAGGGGGGTGTGCAGGAGGCAGCTGATCGATGTTTCTCTGTCATCAATGTTTCTAGCTCTCTATCCCTCTCCTTTACTCTCTGAAAAATCAATAAAATATATTTAAAAAAATGTATTTCTATTGATTTCAGAGAGGAAGGGAGAGAGAGAAAAACATCAATGTGAGGGAGAATCATTGATTGACTACTTCCTGCACGCCCCCTAGTGGGGATCGAGCCCACAACCTGGGTATGTGCCCTTGACTGGAATCGAACCCAGGATCCAGCAGGTTGACACTCTATCCACTGGCTGTTGGTCCATACATTAAGAGTCAAACTGGCTAGGGCTCGCCTAATCACTTTTTCAATGTACTATCTTGCCTTCCATTCCCACCACTCCACTGATTGTGACAATCAATGGACAAATCCACTGCTAGATCCAAGTGGTCTTTCTGCAACATCTAAAATCCACTAGAAATGCTTGTTCTGGCTTCTGCGATATGCTCTCTCTGGTTCCCCTCCCACATTGCTGATTATTCATCTTCTTTGTTCTACTTCTGCTCAGCCCTCACATGTTGGTGTCCACAACTCTGTCCTTGGTCTCCTCCCTCTCTAATACTATCTCCTGTACCTAGATCTCAGGTTTCCTTAAAGCTACAACTGCCACCATATAATAATGATGCCTAACTTCCTGTCTTTTATCCTGACACTCTCTTGAACTCTAGACTTCCATCTCTGTGCCACTCTACTTGGATACTGACATAGCTCAGATAACATGTCCACAACTCAGCCAATTATCTACCAGGCACCTAAACTTGCCCTTCTTCTATTTATCTTGGTAAAATGATGACCTATCCCACTGTTATCAAATCTATCTTTCAAAGATAACTAACTTCGATCTCTTAAATATTTTTATCTCCTGATCTCTTAAATATTTTTATCTCCTAAATATTTCTCAAATCCTCCTCCTTCCTCCCCTTTGCCATTAGCATGTTGTCTCTTAGTTCCCGCCTTTATTCCCTTTCCCCCCTGGACTAATACAATAGCTTCCTAACAGGTCTCTTTGCCTATATGTGACACATTACCGCCAGTATTTATCACACAAATTTGACCCTTCGCTTTCCTTCTTAAAATGGGCTTCAGGAGCTCTCCATTGCCTCTACAATGGCTTTTGAGGATCCAACTTGCTTCCCTTTAAACTCCTGCCCTATCTATCGATACTACTGATAGTTCCTCACATGCGCCATCCTCTGTTGGGATTTTGAATCTTTGCATATACAGTATCCTCTGCTAGTAATAACTTTTTCTCTTGTCTGTTTGGAAAACTATTCTTCTTTAAGACTCATCTCCTTGTGAAAACTCCACAGAATTACCAGGCAAGCTCCCATCTCTGGCTTACCAACACGTTTATGATCTCTCTATTTTAGACTCCCACAATCCTCCTCCTCAAACTTTGGGTTCACACCAAAGTTCTTTCAGCCCCCAAATGCACACTTTACAACCTTTGGGCCTTTGCTTATGTAGGCCCCTTTCCACAGAACCTGTTTACTGCAGTAAGTTTCTTCAGTCTTCATGGCTCTTGATGAAAAACTTTCCCTAGACTAGATTAGTTGTTCGTACTTACCCTCCGCAGCCCCTCCGACCCCCATCTCCCACTTCAAAGCATTTATTATGCTTTATTTTTATTTTATGTTTTCTCTCTAGCTCACCGCTCTCTGAGCCCAGCAGGGTGCTGAACACAGATGCTAGTAAAAGTTTATTGAATGAATGTGTCTGTGCATCTTACTCATTTATGCCTGATATTGGTTGAGCAATTTTTGACGAATGAAAACATATTATATGTAGTATCTATCACATTTTGCCCTCAGAGTCCCTATGTGCCACAGATCTGATTTAGCTTGGTATTCCTTGAGTTCCATCTTATACGACATACTCCAGCAAGTATCCAAATCGGCTTGGGATTATTCAGCGTTGTCATTTCCTCAGTGCTCTGAGCAGAAAAACACCAATATCCTAAATTTGTGCAAGAATCATCTTGAGAGCAAAAGGCTGGATCTTGAGTTTTCTTGATTCCCAAAACTCTTGAAGCCATGGCACCAAACCTAACCACTTACCGCTTGAGAGGCCATCATTTCATTTATACTCTGTTCATACTGCTCTGCCAAAATGGCAAGTTTTCTTGTCTGCTCATCTTTCAATGTCTTTAAGATTGTTTTGTGCTCATTCTTTGGAGTAACTTCCAACTGGTGATTCTTGAGTGCTTTATACTGTTTGGTCTGTACTTTGCAAGTGTCCTGAAACTGTTTTTTAATTTGCATTTCCATGGCCTGTGTGATAAAGTGACAAAAAGAAAATAAAGACACATCAGTAAATACAGGAAGTCTTCCATTGTAATGATAAAATACAGGTGCTGGGACCATCTGTCTTTTTGTACAGTGACCCACACCACAATAACAAAAAATACATATGACACAGCAAGAGTTAACTCTATCAATACTTTTGGTTTTATATTAAACTAGAAGCTGGTTTACAAATTCATGCACCAACTAGGGTCCCTTGGCCTGGCCTGTGGGATTGGGCTGAAACTGGCTCTCCAACATCCCCCAAGAGGTCCTATATTGCAAGAGGGTGCTTACCAGGCCAAGGGACCCCATCAGTGTATGATAGAGGCCAGGGAGGACCGTGGGAGGTGTGTGTCCAGCCCATCTCACTCAGTCCTGATTGGCCAGATCCAAGCATAAAACTAACCTACTAGTTGGAGATTCTGCCCCTGGTGGTCAGTGCATGTCATAGCAAGCGGTTGAGTGACCTTAGCATATCATTAGCATATTATATTTTGATTAGTTGAACGGCCAACAGGTCGACTAGACACTTAGCATATTAGGCCTTTATTATATAGGATAAATAGAAATAATTTTGAATTTATGAATGGATGAAAATATGAATTGTTACAAGGGAATTACAACTCTAAGCAGATTGTAGCATACTATACAGCTCAGTTTGTTAAAAGTTTGTTTATTATGTTAATGGTTTCCTAATCAAAATCTTTAGTGTCCTCTATTATTTGTTGTTTTTCCCCATTTTTTGTTGCCCCCTCCTCATTTCCAAGTAAGAAAAAAAGATGACAATGTATAAGCCAGCTTTCACTGTTCTGTGTTTCCTTGACAATTACACCAAATTCAGCATAAATAAAAAGGAAAAGTGATTTTAGTATTACCCATGTCCCCTCTTAAGAGGTTATACTGCGTGTAGCAATATCAAATATGCATTTTGGCTAGGAGAAGGTGGGATGTATTATAAGTCCAAAGGCATTCCATCAGTTTGCCTCACAATCACATGAGTATTTCTTGAATCCCTGGAGGAGCTGTGCTTACAGGGATCTCTGGCTAGGATTTGGCGAGAGAGGAGCATGGCCAGAGTTATCGAGTGGTTCAAATCTGTGTCAAAACTGACAGTGTCTCCCTTGACATAGAGCAATAGTGTAGTCCAGTGGTTGGCAAACTCATTAGTCAGCAGAGCCAAATATCAACAGTACAACGATTGAAATTTCTTTTGAGAGCCGAAAACCAACTTTGAGCATGGGTCACAAAGTTTCAATTGCACTGTATCATGCCCGCCTGCATGTGGTATTTTGTGGAAGAGCCACACTCAAAGGGCCAAAGAACCACATGTGGCTTGGAGCAGCAGTTTGCCGACCACTGGTCTAGTCTATAGAGCCCATTTATCACTCAGCCACAAGAGGCAGTTAGGGACAGAGGAGCTCCATCTCTCCAGTGCAGGCACATCTAGATTCACTGCTGATCTCCCAAATATGGCAGATGTCACTCTTTCCTAAAAGCTTGGTGTGCTTTAGCATCTTTTTCAATACAGTCCTTTTCGATTGGTAGTGCTGTTACCAATCATATGACTGGTCTGACAGATGAAACTTATCTGCCCTACACCTGCCAGGTAGCTTTCTTATTTCCTGGTTTTAGAATCATGGGTTGCTGTTGGTCCATACATTACATTTTTTCAAAGGGCAGGTCATGAGGCAGTCGGAGAAATTATGTAACGGATATAAACAAAAAGGGAAAGAGCATCTTGTAGAGAGGCTTCCAAACCAGCCTGCCCAGCAACATCTCTTCAGGAGTTTGTTCTGTACAGAATCTTGTGCTTCACATCTGGAGAGTCTCATTCAGTAGATGCAGCGTCCAGAAATTTGTAATTCTGAAATGCCGCCCAGATGATTCTGACCGTCATCCTCCAGGGGTAGGAGCCACTGATCCAGGCCCACTCTGTTCTGGAGCACCGACAGGGAGATACTTCCATTTCCTCTTACCTTTAAGTTTTTTGGCTGTTGCCGGAGTTCCATGACATGCTTTCTGTGCAGTTCCCTTTCCCGCCTCTTATTGTACTCCAGCTGGTTTTCCAGTTCAGTCTGGTGCTGTAGACGGATCAGATCCATGCGTAGCTTCTGTAACGTGTGCAGCTGCCGGTACTCTAGCTCTCGGGTGGACTCATCATGCCGGATCAGCATGGCGTGCTCCATTTCCTTCTGGGTCCGCTTTTTATTCAGTTCCTGCGTTCAGGAACAAAAGATAAAGGGAGAGAGATGAATGGAGACAGACTGGATGGAATTCACAACTGAATGAGGGAGGGCAAGGAACAGCACTACGAACTCTCTTAATTAAACCTACTAGGGTTTGGCGGCAAAACCTAATGAGATTAGATTAACAATCCCTGGAGATTGAGGTTCTGTATGCGGGGCCACCATTTTTACAAGATGAGCAATGACAATGACTCCCAGCCATCACAATGACTCTATCTGTAAAATGGGAATAATTCTACCCAAGCCTTTCTTACCTCACAGGGCTGTTGTGACCCTTAATTAGATGGTGTGACATGCACAGGTCTAAATACACGTTTCTTCAGCTAAAACAGTGGTTCTGAATCCTGACTGCCCATTAAAATTACATGAGGAAGCTTTTAAAACATAAGATGATTGAATCCCACAACCTGAAATTCAGATAATTGTCTGGGGTGGGACCATGACATCAACAGTTTTAAGGGTTCCCCAGGTGATTCTAATAGGCATTCAGAGCTGAGAATCACATAAGTAAATTGATAATGTCTGCAGTGTTCTTATGGGGAAATACCTTTTTTCCCCTGGTATGTATCAAAAGTAGGTCAATTATCTATTTTTTTTTTTTCAATCTCAGAGTTCACTGCATGCTGAGGAAAAGCAGAGATCTTTCTCCTTTTATCTCGTACATTATAGTCTGTTTGATCATTTCTGGTTCTAATCATTCTGTTCTTACAACTTCTGCTCATGTCTCTCTCTTCTGTTGAAATGGGGGAAAGAAAGGAAACTAGAAAAAAAGGAGGGATAAGTTCGGTGAAATTTTTTCATTCACCAGTTCAAGAATATTTCCTGAATAGCACTATATCAAAAATCTGAACCATTTGCTCTGGGTGCATAAAAATGTTTACTAAGCCACACTGTCCTCAACTTAGGAACTGCATTAGACAGGTATGAAAGTATATGTTCAGCTCACAGCTAAATGAATCCATTTATTTTCTCTACTAGGAATTTGAAATAGAGATTCATAAACAGTGAATCTTTACGTATAGCTAGAATGGAGGGGCATATAAAAACTACATATGTGGTAGCCACCCACTGCTATGAAGGCTGAGTGATTAGAGAAAGCTGAGCTTCAGAGCAAAAATAAAAAAGAAAGAAGTACAGGGAATATATTGATGCCCAAGTTCCTGACTGGTTCTAAGCACTCCTGTAGGTACAGCTGTATTATTGCTATTGGGATTTATGAGACATTCCTATATTTCAATAGTAAATTCCCTGCTTTTGGCTTAAGTTAGCTCAAGTAAATTTTAGTAACATGTAAACCAAGAATCTTAATTCATAAAGGGAAATAAGTTTATGTATAAATTAAAAAAAAAAAAAGACAAGAGCAAGGCTGGAAGTGCTAAGTGCTATAAAACAGGTAAAAACCTTATGCTGTGAGATTTCCTAAAAGTGTAATATTACTACTACTTAAAAAGGCCAAGGGGAAAGATTTTGAGCGGGGCTTTAAGCTAGAATGATAGGTTGGTTCTCTTCTCTAATGGGATCCACTATGGAAGAAAATGCAAGTTATTTATTACATATAATTATCAGTGACATTTGCATATTTGTGTGGATGTGACTATCTTGCTACCTGGGCCTTCTATCCTGAAGAGAAGTCCTCTACACAGCATAGCCTCTATTACTAGAGCAAAGCCACTAAGCAGTCATTAATGTATTATACAAGTTACCCATGCGTCAGGCACTGTTGTAGGCACCAGGGAAAGAGCAGTGAACAAGCACACCCCCTTGTGGAGGTTATTTTCTAGTGGGGAAATACCAGAAGTGCAATTAACCTTTGTTTTAAGGAATATAACATAATAATATCCTAGTGCATCTCCCTGTATCTCCTCCTGCTTTTACTTTTCCTTCTTTTATTTTTCCTCTTTGCCTGGGCCATCAAATGTCATTTTTTAAAAAACCACTAACTGGCCCCTAGGTGGCACTAAAGAACAGTGAGCCCTTTTCAGAGACTAAAGCTATTCCAGTCCATTGACCAAGAGAAGCCAAGGAAAGTCCTTGAAATGGGTAAATATCCTATTCCTAAGTCACTATGTCATGTTGAACCTTTGAGTACCAGGTCTCCCAATACTGGGCACTTATACATTCCACACTTTCCCAAACTGAAAAGTCCAAACTGCATCTGAGCTGCCCAGAGCTCTGAACCCCCTGGAGGGCAGGATTAAAGATCAAAGCAAACCATACTTTCAGAAGAAATCAAATGCTTCTTCTTATGTTTAATGGAATGCTACAGATTGTTGTTCATCAGAAGTACCTGGGTTACAAGCTATTTGTCTTACCCAGCTAATTCTGACATATACTAAAGCTTGAGACAGGGTGTAAGTCACTTTCAGCTCTTCCAATGATTCATGGACAGCTCTAGGCAAGTCTCTTAATCCATGTTTTATTTTCCATAGGTATAAAGTGAGGATAACTTTTCCACCACCAACTGCCATTCTTGTGAAGATGAAAGAACTTAAGAAAATGCTTCAGAATACATAAACATGTCATTATTATTTTTCTCTATTCAGAAGTTAATGTTTAAAACTAGTTTTCATAAACTACTAGAAAGTGAAATAAACATGATACTGAAGTGGCTTTTCTGTTATAATGGGTTGTTCCCTTTACCTTTAATTCATACATCTGAGTTGCTGAGATTTAAGATGGTAAGCTGTCTAAAATATTGCAAAACATGGGGGGGGGGGGAACATTATCCAGTGCTGTGCCTACATAATAATGTGAAATGTGCTTTCAAGTTCTAAAAATGACTTCATATATTTTAATCCTAATTGCAGCCCTATGAGGTGTTAACATTATAAGGCTTTACCCCTCTTATACATGATAGAAAGGAATTTGGGAATTGAGAGACTAACATAAGATCATATAACTTCTATAAAGCAGAACTGAGGCTAAAAGTCAGGTTTTTAGATTTTTGACATTTTCCATTAAAAGATGTCCCAGTGAAGGCTTATATTTTTCTGTTTTATGCTTTATCAATCTGTGGTACTATATTTGGGAGAATTCCTCTATGCTAGCTAGACAACTACAATTTGTACAATGGTTGCTTCATCGTACAAATGACATAAAGTAAAGCCATGCCATGTGCACACCTGTAGCTTATACAAATTCAACGAAGTAAGAAACAATACAAAAACAATTGTCATAAACAGGTGATTCTGCCCACCAGTGTACTCCATGTATATGCCCTAGAAGAAGTGTGAAATGGGAAACATCACCTACTTTAAGCATCTCACCAAGTTGAGTTTAAGTTTAGTATTGAAACAGGTATTTTCATATACCATGGCCCCTAAGAACATCACCAAACTTTATGTGAATCTACCTCCTGTGTAAGACGTGGGTCCAGGGTGTGTTCCCTAATTAACCCTTCATAACTGTGGCCCAATCATTCTATTTTTTTTTTAATTTCAGTGGAAAGTGCTATTGACTCCTTTAAAAGCAGTTGTCCTCATACCCACTGAGGTTGAGTAAGAACTAGAATTGAAAAATTTTAATGGAACCCTATCTGGTTCGGCTCAATGGATAGAGCATTGGCCTGCAGACTGTAGGGTCTTTGGTTTAATTCTGGTCAAGCGCACTATCCCCAGTAGGGAAAGTGCAGGAGGCAGCCAATCAATGATTCTCTTTCATCTCTGAAATCAATAAAAATATATTTAAAAAAAAATTAAGTGGAGATGCTGTCAGCCTAAGACATTTAATGCTTTCTTAGTTTCAGTTCATAGTTTCATAACTGGTTAGAAAACAGTGGGCATCTATGTGCAGTTATAATAATGGAAGAGGCTCAACCTAGTCTATGTTGATCTTTTAAAAATCCTACCTAATAAAAGAGTAATATGCAGATTGACCATCACTCCAATTCACAAGATGGCTGCCCCCATGTGGTCAAAGATCCTGCCCCCATGTGGACACAAGATGGCCACCACAAGATGGTTAGCAGGGGAGACCAGTTGGGAGGCACCAGGCCTGCAAGGGAGGGCAATGGAGAGGGACCAGGTCTGCAAGGGAAGGCAGTTGGAGGTGATCAACCCTGCAGGGGAGGGCAGTTAGGGGTGACCAGGCTGGCAGAGGAGGGAAGTTGGGGGCAAACAGGCTGGCAGGGGAGCAATTAGACATTAATCAGGCTGGCATGGGAGTAGTTAGGGGGTGATCAGGCTGGCAGGTGAGCAGTTGGGAGCCAGCAGTCCTGGATTGTGAGAGGAATCCCAGATAGGAGAGGGTGCAGGCTCAATTGAGGGACACCCCTCCCGTCCCTCGTGCATGAATTTCGTACACCAGGCCTCTAGTGTTTTTAATAATTAAAAGGATTGCTAATGCTCACTTTTGGCAAAGATACAGAAAACAGATACTCTTTGTTGGTGGGAGTGCCCTTTTTGAGGGCAATTTGGCAATATCTATTTAAAAATCTACATGTATATACTCTGACCTGAAAACTTCACTTATAAGAATGTATTGTACAAAATACTTGCATATGTGTAAAAAGATCTCTGTACAAAGATGTTCTCTGGAGCGTTGTCAATAATACTGTAAAACTTCAAAATACTACTGAGAAGTACTTCATTAAATAATTTCATAGCCATACTAATGGTTGAAAAGAATGAGGCAGAGCTGCAAGTCCTAGATCGCACCATAGTAAATGAAAAAAAAAAAAAAAAGTTACTAAACAGTATAGTGAACATGTGGGATTTCTTTGGTATGTTCAGTATCCTTTCACCTCCTTTTAAGTCTCCCCTTTTCCAAAAATGCTATTCCACCCATTGTGGAATCAAGGATTAAAAGAGTAAGCACATTACCCAATCAACCTCTCTCTCCTAGAAATCTGAATTGGAAGCAACAATGAAACAAGAGTTAAACATGGTTGGAGGAGATACATTCAAAAGGCGGTGCTTTGAGCAATGTCCATTGGCTTTCACTCTCTGGACCATGAATGTTGCTTTTCCAGCTTGATTCTTTCCTCTTTTCCAGTGTGATTTTCAGCTGTCTTCTATCCTGTTATCCTCCAATGAATTCCTTCCCATGCTAAATCATCTGGTTTGTTTCTATTGCTTTCAAATCAAATATACCTCTGATACTAATGTAACCTTATTTTTGTAAAGTTCTATATAATATGTGAGAGTTCCATATGGTATATAAGCTTTATATATGCATATATATGTACAGAAAAAACCTGAAAATATGTGTGCAAATTAATGGTGATTGTCTCAGGGTAGAGATTGGAAAGGATGGGAATATCAAGAACTTTCATTACTCAACTTTGTATTTTTCTATTTTGTATTTTTTCAGTGTTGTTTGATTACTTTTGTGCACAGAAAGAAAAACTGAATATTTTTCATGAAGAAGGCCCTGGAATAAGACTAAACAAAAGAAAATCAAAATTCTTAAGAAAAATACTCTTATAGGGCTATTCTTCATACAGTTGTTTAGAACTTGATAGTAATGAAGTCCTGAATATACTTTCTATCATTTTGGGGGAATAACTGTCTTCTATGTCTTTTATTGGTAATAACTGTCCCCTTAGCCTCAGATTTCTTCCAAATATGTGCTATTAGAATAACTAATAATTGCCAGATGAAAAGAATCCCAAACACGTTATTTTCAACTGGCTATTGGATTTTTTAATTTGGACTTTTTTGCCTTCCAACAAACTCAGCATGCCTAGTTCTGCGTTAATCAGTTTCTTACCAACATCTTTCTAAACTCTCTTTCCATCCAAATCTGCATTTCCTTAGAAATAACAATAATTTTACCTTCATATTTTCTTTCATATCTTAATGTATGCCAAGTCCTACTTATTTTATACTTCAAAATATGTTTCAAACCCACCCCACTCTCTTAAAAAATATATTTTTTTATTGATTTCAGAGAGGGAGAGGGTGAGAGAGCGAGAACATCAATTATGAAAGGGAATCATTGATCAGCTGCCTCCTGCAGGTCCCCTATTGGGGATTGAGCCCACAACTCAGGCATGTGCCCTTGACTGGAATCGAACCCTGGACCCTTCAGTCTGCAGGCTGATGCTCTATCCACTGAGCTAAACCAGCCAGGGCCCACCTCTCTTTTGATAGTCACCCCACCATCTTTGTCTATAGCCTATTTCCTACCACCAGATCTCTTTTCTCTAATTCAGTATTTCTCAATCCCCCCCCCCATTCTGTCCCCATCAGAGCCTTTTTAGATTTCCCCTTCCCTGACAATCTCTACCTCTGCAACGTTAATACCATAGATATACTGTGTATCTGTTTATGTACTGTGACCCTTCAGAGGGCCTCAAATTGTTGTAATATCTAAGACCCCTCCCCTACAGAACCATTTTCACCTCTTCTTCCCCCCACCCCCCCCAGTCCCAAGAACTCATGCTCTAATCAAACTGGGCTGATCTCACCATAGTAAAATTTTAGCCATATCACTGCCTGGCTCAAAAATGTTCAGCCGAAACCGGTTTGGCTCAGTAGATAGAGCATCAGTCTGTGGACTTTGGGGTCCCAAGTTCGATTCCAGTCAAGAGTATGTGCAGTGGTTGCAGGCACATTTCCAGTAGGGTGTGTGCAGGAGGCAGCTGGTCGATGTTTCTCTCTCATTGATGTTTCTACCTCTCTATCCCTCTCCCTTCCTCTCTGTAAGAAATCAATAAAATATATTGAAAAAATGTTCATCAGTTTCTCCCTCTTCCAATAAGATGAGAGAACACAGATAAAGAGCCTGGGCCTGGCTCATAATTGTGGTCAATAAGTCTGTGTTGGCACTGCCCTTTTCCTTGCCATTTGAATATTGTTGCTCTCCCAAAAGTTACACCAATTCCCATTCCCATTAAATGTACCTGAAGTGCTTTTTTCCCTCATGAAGGCAAACACTGTTTTTTGTTTTTAGCAAACTTGCTGTTTTTACCAATGTGCTAGCTCATTTGTGAGGTTTCTCTTTGATTAAACCAGGTCACAATGATTTCCTGTTAAGCTTTGCATCTGCAACTGATTCACATTCTCTATTCCTCATCTCAGTGAAGAACAACCCATTCATCCAATTTCCCAGAGTAGAAGGTTTGAAGTCATTTTTGATTCCTCCCTCTTCTAAACTTCTCACACCATTAGGTCCGAATTATTTTTAGTTCTGCTTCAGAAATGTCACTCAGATCTAATCTTCACAAGCTCATATGAATCTTATAGTATTGGGCTAGGGAAGATATATGCTAATTAAAAAAAAATCTAACCTCTATCTACCCCCATTGCTTCTTCCACAGAAGAGCATCCTAGCTGAGCTCATTGTACTTTACTTTTGACAACTCCAGCTTACCCTCACATTGATGCACTCATTCTTCAAAATAAAGAAAACTCACCATAACTTTTCTGCTTGCAAACTTCTGGCGGCCAAGCAACTGCCTTCAGACTAAAATCTAAATGCTTTGGCTTAAGAAACAAGGCCCTCCGCATTTTGCTTCAAGCTACTCTTGTTCTGATGCTGCAGTCCCCACACCCAGACACTAAGCATATCATCAATCACTGAATCCTACAAGCTCTTTCATGACTAGATGCCCAGGATACTTCATTTACATGTCTATTACTATTATACCTAATACATTCTATGGTAATTAGTGTGCTACATGACTGTTTCACTTCTGAGTCTTAGGGCTACTTGAAGGCAAGGAGGACAGCTTCTCGGAAGCCCTGGTGTCTCAGCATGGCTTGGCACAGAGGAGGCACCCATAAGTGCTGGATGACTGAATGAGTGAACTTCATTGTAGAACATCATCTTATTTTTTAAGTGTTTGATGTGGAGTCCCAAAAACACAGGTCTTTGAAAAGCAGGCTGAAAGCAAGTTATTTTACTTCTTTTGATCCTCCACTGCATAATAAGGCTTATAATGAGTGTTCAATAAAACTTTATAACATTTATTTGGAAAAAGTTGATTTCTTGTTCTGTAAATGGGCTTTCTCTTATCAGTGATAAATTCATTCCCTGGCTCTTTGTATACCTACTTTGTGTCAAGGTCCTACGCTGAAGACTAGATAAAGCAAGGATATAGGAATGAAAAAACAGTTGTGATCCTCACAAGGCTTGCTGTCCCATAAGTAAATGACAATAGTTAGGAACATAAATACCTCCCGAATGTTCTGCTGCTCCACCTCGTGCCGCTTGATCATTATTTTCCGCTTAAAGAAACGACAGTTTTTGTCGTAGTACAGTCTCTGCTGAGTGAGAAGGTGGGCTTCCTCTTCGGCCTGTGTGTGCTGCAAGTTTTCTTTATGCTTGGATATCCGCTCCTGCTTTTCTTTCTTGGGTGTGCTATGGTCCTCATTCATCTCCTTCACAAGAAAAAAAATAAGGGGAAAACCATGCCAGTATCATTAGCCAAAGAAATTATAATAGTTTATTGCAATGGTAGATTAAATTATTTGGAAAGTAAATAAAAATGTAAACACAGGCTGACTTGATATTGCCCCCTTCTCGCAAATACATACTTTGAATATTAAGTGAGAGGAAGGCTTGTTAGTTTCCAAGTCTCCAACTTCTCAACTGTCAGAAATTATTTGTTCACTCATCAATCAAATACATATTTACTGAGTTCCCATCATGTGATAGGCACTGTGCAAGGCATAAGGATACAATGGTGAACAAAAGAACATGGTATCTACCATCATGGAGCTTTTCAGTCTAAAATAAAAAAAACTAAACAAAGAACCCTATGAACTAAAAATGACTGGGACAAAAGCTTTGAAGGTGAGTTCTTGGTTCTACAAGAATGATTAATAGAAACTATTGAACCTCGGTGGTAACAGCTGAGCTGAAATTTGAAAAATCATAGGCATTAATCAGTCAAAAGGAAAGGAAAGAATAATCTGGGTAGAGGAAATAGCATATGCAAAACTATTAGGGTGGGTTAACTGAAACATGGTATGTGTATGATCAAGGAACTGAAAGGCCAGAGTGTGGTGGAGTGTTACATGAGATGAGACTGGGCAGACAAACGGGACTGTTAGGTTAGAGGTCTAAAAGGCTGAGTTAAGGATCTTTAGGATAGGGGAAATGGATTTTATATGGTGGTGGGAGGTTATCATAATGTTATGCATTTCAAAAAGATGACTGGCTGTTTGTAGAAAACAGAATAAAGAAGGCTAGAGTGTATACATAGGAGGCTAGTGCAAAGGTCCAGATGAGAGATGATAGTAGCTTGGACAAAGGAGGTGGGGAAAAGAACAAGTAGACAGGTTTTATATACAGGAGGTAACTCTGCAAATGTCACTCATTTGGGATTATAAGCCACCTATATTTTCAAAAGGACAAAAATCATTAGTATTTCAGCTCTTAATGGTAAAGAAAAGAAAGCAGTGAACAGAACAGTTAAGAATAGGTTAATCTATGTGGAAAGTAAGATGACCACTTTTATGGAAAGCACACAGTACTCTTCTTTGTTCATACTGTTCCATCGGACAAGCTTGACCTATAATATTTGGTTAACTACTCAGTGAAATCCCTTTAATTGCTAACACCTCTTTTATTTAAAATTTTGTGATGCAGACATTACACACTATTTAGATTATTTTTGTGCTTAGTCAAGAAGTCCTTGTAAATCAACTTTTCTGTTCTAATGAAGTCTTAAGTGAAATGTTAGAATCAACAAGAGCATGTGCTGTTTCCAGCGTGGAGTAGGTTAGGATCACAACAGGAGAGCTGGTGACTCATTTCTTAATGCCATAACTTTACTACTAGGTTTAGCATTAACCATTACATTGAACACCCAAATTCAAATATGTTCATTAAAATTCTCTCCAAAATCATGAATAAATTATTTCTGGACCATCTATCATTTTGTATTACCCATATCTCTGCTATCAGTAGTTGGGAATCATGGAGATTATTTTGTCATTTCAAGGACAGTTCCTTTAAGTATACCAATATTTAAATATACATGTCACTTTAAACAGTGTGAACCAAGCTCTACTTCATAGGGAGTAATACTAGCTTTGCACAGAAAGGCTTATGAGTGTGTTGAATGACTTGTAAGTTCAGGCCTGTAGCTTCCTGCACTCGTAAATCTGAGCATGGTTGGCTCCAAACAGTCTTATGTCTGAAGACTGAGTGGGGACTCTTGAATTTTGTTCTTTGGCAGAATCTTCTAAAGGCAGAACTCATACAATCTCCAAATGCCTGAGTATTACAAGAGCTCAAATTGGTGGCTGCGGTCATACTGTATGACCTCCAGAGCATGAGTAAACATACGGTGTGAGAAATAAGATGACATCTGCAGCTGAGAAAATTTCTTACTTAAAAATCAAAGTTATTTCTATGATCCAGAAATATCTTTTATTGTGATGTAATAATTATGCACAAGCTATAACTAAGAGAAAATGGAGAGAATGTGAACCTTCTTAGTTGGACTACTTTTCTCTACAGCTTGGTTTTCTAGACTTTTTTTGTGTCTCAGATTCTTTCTATTTAAGCAGTGTAGAGCAACTACAAGTTTCTGTCAGGCCCAATAATTACCAGTGGCCATCTAGGCAGGACCAAAGATCCTGAGGCCCCATCCCAAAACACTTGCTTTCACTTTCCAGTTTAAAAAAGAAATGGAGAGGAACATTGCTAAGTCTCTTAAGTCTCTTGGTGTTACCTTAGAATCTGAGCTCAAATGAATTATTTCATAAACTAGAACAATGCCTCATGTTGAATTTTATTAAACCTTAATACACTAGTAGTTGACAAATAAGAAATCCTAAATCTCAGGAGAAGGAAAATCTATGGAACTCGAGGCAATTTACCTGTAAGTACTGGTAAAAGGAGAACTGAAGAAATTTGAGCTTTCAGGCCCTCTTAGGCCACACTAGTGGTCTTCAACCAAACATTCAAGAATTAATTATTCACTTATCAATTATTCACATATACCAGACACAGGGATACCAAAAAACACATACAAAATTGGCAAAAAACATCTACAACAACAACAACAATTACTACTACAAAACAGTCATGGTCTCTACCTATATCACTTACTGACCAATAGGCCAGTAGGGAAAGTAGCTCAAAGAATCACTAAAAAAAAAAAAAAAAAAAAAAAAGGTAAAATTGAAAGCTAGTGTCATGAAACCAGAAGCATCTGCTCTAGGCAAGGCAGTCAGGAAAGGCTTCCCTGAGGAAGTGATATTTAAGTTAAGGTACTAATAAATGACCCTGAATCTTATAAGGAAGAGGAGTAGAAATAATTACAGAATAACAGCAGAATTACAGTCAGGGAGGGATGGAGAGTGAGGCATGCAGAGAGCATCCTGATGGAAGAAACACTATGAACAAAGACCTTGGGGAAGGGCAGAGTTTCATACAGTTGAGGAACCAAAAAGTGACTGTTGTGGCAGGAGCAGTGAAGAGTTGGGGGTCGGGTAAGCAGGTGGGGAGAACACTGGTGTGAAGTGAGACTGGAGGAAAGGCTGGTAGTAGACCACGTAGGGACTTCCAGTATTTTAATCTATATTAATAGTAATGGAAAGCCAGTAAATATTAAAACCATGAAGTGATATGACTGGATTTATGGTTTGAAAAGATCACTCTGTCTGAAGTGTGGAGAAGCAAGCAAGAATGGTTTAGAGTTAGAACAAATGGCTCTTGAAGTGTGGTGCCTGGACCCCCGGTATCAGCATCACTTGGGAAGTTATTAGAAATGCATATTTCAAATTCTACTCCAGACACATTGAATCAGAAAATCTACGGGTGGATTAGTAATCTGTTTTAAAAACCATTTCAGATGATTCTACTGTAAAGTTTGAGAATCAATGGGTTAGACTACATTTTGATCACAATGTATGATAAATCAATTTTAAATTACAGCCATTCTAATGGCAAATTGGTGACTACAAATATTGGTATTCTTACCTCTTTTATTTTTTCCTTACAAATCTTATACTGCTTCTTCTGACTTTCTAAGAAAGTTGTCAAATCTTTCTTCTGCTGGGCCAAGATCTGTTGCTGGAACTTCTTCTCATCTGCTGCAGCTACCTTTGCCTGCAAAAAATACCAAATATGATCTTGGAGGACTTGTTCTTCACACAGAACTTAGCCATATATGTTCTCTAATGCATTGAAAGAATCCATAAATGTTGAATAATGTAATTTTTGAACAAATTGTTAATTAAACAAAATACGGAAATGCCTATTCTGATTTCCCTGTATCTTCAACAAACATTTTATGGGAAAAAAATATGAAGGAAAACCACAAACACATACATGAAAATACATGGGATGAAAGTTAAACAAACAATGATTATAATAATTTTTTTCATATTGTTGATAGCTGAAGGGTTATATTATAAAGATGGATAAACATAACTGGCCAGTTTTATTCCAAGAATCTAACTTTAATTGATTAATTATTGCAACTACCAGGCTTCACATCTAGTGTACTAAGCAAAGCTGATGACATGTGATTTCTTAGGTACCTGTTAGAATTTACAACAGTTAGACACTAGGACATTTGGGGGCTCCTTAGTGGATTGGATGCTGACCAAATAAAAGATAACCCAATAAATATTGGTTCCTGAGAGTGACCAAATCTAAGTGTTAGGGAACCATTCAATGAAGCACTTAAGTAGATAAGGTGCTTAAGAATCATGCTTCACGGTTCTTTTATATATATATATTTTATCTAATATTTAGCATCTATGAACAATCATTCTTCCATTATGAACAATCCTCCCTACATATTTACCAAATCAAATTCCCAAGAAAGAATCTGACTGGTTTATTTAATCAACATCCATGAGACCTTCTTGGGGGAATGCTTCTTCTATAATTCTGATGTTTCCTTTCATGTGGAGAGAGAATCTAATTATTGAAACACCCCTGGCCTCTTGTCCCCAGTCACTTCATCCCCACAGAACACATGTTCACCCTGCTTTTCCACACTTTGTAAATCTTATGGGAGGTGGTAGGGAAGGCGACTCGTTTAGTACTACTAGGGCCTGGATAGGCAGGCCTGGCTAATTTTGTTTAGTAGGATTAGGCCCATTTTTCCTCAGATATAAAATACTTCTCCCACCTAACATTTACCCGTAATAAAAGTGATAATTTTGACTATCTGCCTTACCCACTCCTCTGTTTTGAAAATTAGTTTAGAATCAGGATGTGGAAGATAAAATGTTCTCTAGAATACTCAAACAATAGCCAGACTAATTACTTGCTGAAATTAGTCAGATGCCATCCTGAGTCCAATCAGCTGTAGGCAAAGATGATCACCAGGAAAAGGGACTATTTGTAGAGAAGTTTTCCTTTGAAGAAGACTGGGTGTGGCAGGCACCATCCAAGTTTCCATAGGTTAGAAGCATCTTGTGTGAGTATGTATGTGTGTGTGTGTGTGTTAATTTTACCCAGGCCCATAGCAAAGGATTGATGCTCAGAATATATTTGAATACACAAGAATGTGGTATACCCCTTTAGTTACTATATTAACTTTTTTAATGATAATTTTTTAAAGATATATTTTATCGATTTTTTTACAGAGAGAAAGTGAGAGGGATAGAGTTAGAAACATCGATGAGAGAGAAACATCGATCAGCTGCCTCTTGCACACCTCCTACTGGGGATGTGCCTACAACCAAGGTAGATGCCCTTAACTGGAATCGAACCTGGGACCCTTCAGTCCGCAGGCCGACGCTCTATCCACTGAGCCAAATCGGTTACGGCAATGATAATTTTAAGTAGTCCCATAAAACCAACCCCACTCCCTCACCAAAGAAATACTGTTCCCTTTTTACCAAAAACCACACCCCTCTTGTCTCCTGCTGACTGGCTGGACCAGGCGTGGTGTGACCATGGTACGAGAGCACACACACCCAGACTGACCTCCTTCTCTATGGTAGCCACTTGCTTCTTGGCCAGCTTCTCCAGCTCGATGGACGAGTTGTTGGCATGCGTCTCCACCTCCTTCTGTAGCTTGAGGCGGTGCTCGTCCATCTCAGCCTTCAGCTTGTTCTCCAGGGCGATCAGCTGCTTCTGGTGCTGGCGCCGCATCCGCTTATATCCTGACATCTGTTCCCGCAACTCGTTCTCCTGCTCATGCTCATGGATCTGCCGTGTAACCTGATTAGGGTTGGGGAACAGAACTCAGGTAACCAGGTTCACGAAAGGCAAACTTTCAGGCAAAAGAGAAGAACCCTCTGCCATGGTTTTATTTACGTACTATTTCCTGAACACTTACCTGTACCAGGCACTGTGCCGGATGCTCTTTATATACTTTATCTCTAATCCTAAAAACCATCTCACTCACTCACTCATTTTATTCATCCATGAGATGGACTGGTGTTACCACCCCAAGTTTATCGACAAAAAAAAAATTGAGACTTTTGGGGAATTTTTTTACTCATTTGGCCAAAATAGATTTACATGTTTTCAATATATCATTATATACAAGAGGTTGGCAGAAGTAGGTTTACAGTTGTGGGTAACATTCTTTTGTACTAATAAAGCTGTTGTAATAATCATAACCTGCATGTCTTTCTCTATACAAACAACTGTAAACCTACTTTTGCCTGGCTCTGTATATGCTCAAGGTCATGTAGCTAATAAGGAGTGGAGTTGGGATTCAGACCCATTTCTGTCTGATTCCAGAGCAATGCTATTTCCACTATTTGAGGGCTTCTCAACCTCGGCACTGCTGACATTGAACTGGATAGGTCTTTGCTGTGGGGGCTATCCTGTGCATTGTGGGACGTTTCACAGCACCTCTGACCTACCCCCTGGAGTCCAGCAGCACCTCCCAAGACATGACAATTAAAAATGTCTCCAGACATTGCCAAATGTCTCCTGGCCAGAGTGGGGGTGGGGGTGGGGGCATCACAATCCCTCTGACGGAGAACCACTGCACCATATCATCCTGCTGGGTTGTTTGTTAAGAATAATGTCTCTAACAGTCATAGGAATCTTGAACAATACTGATTCCCTATTCTTAATATGAATCAAGAGAAAGAGAAAGAACTCTCTCCCTTAAATCTTCAAAGAGATGCTAACAAATTACAATACATCTACGTGCTGTTCTAAAGAGGAAAATGTGCCTTCCTAAAGTTCAGGAAAATGAGGAAAATTTCTGGACGGCCACAATTCTCATTAGTTTTTCCTTAACCCATTCAAGTGAATGGCCAAACTGAACATTGCAAATGTGAATGTTGATATCTTGTTTTTATCTATTTAACCTATTCTGATTTTTCAGTCCTTCCTTCAATTTGTCACCACTTGTTATTTTCCTGTCAGATTCTCTGTCACTTTCTTCTCTTATATTTATTTTAGAAAAAAATTATAACTTTAGCTTTGTTTTTCAATAAGCAATTTAGTCATTCCTATGTACTATTAGCCACGTCTCCTCAATCTAAACCTCAAACAAGTTTTACTGGAAAATTTCATGCTATTACTTCTGTCTACTATTTTCAGTTTATGGGTCAAAGTGTATTTTATACAAAGAACAGTTTGTTTCTCTACTCTTTTTAGAAGGTGTCCCTGCATATTAGACTCAGTCCTCACTATCGAGAGTGTTTGTAACTGGATAGTATTATCAAAGTACACATTAAACATTTGCCGAACTTTGAAACCTTTCCAGTTGAAACTAACACTGTTTCATATTCATTTCTTTTTTCTAAAGGACAATCCTCTCTAAACTATGAGGAATAAGAGCAGACAATATTTCAAGACCAAAAAGGGGATATCATCACCAAAGAGGCACCTAACACTCTAAAGATTATTAATAATCTTTTTTATGTTATCACAATTATGTATTTAAAAAATATATATTTTATTGATTTTTTACAGAGAGGAGGGGAGAGGGATAGAGAGCTAGAAACATCGATGAGAGAGAAACATCGACCAGCTGCCCACCGGGGATGTGCCCGCAACCAAGGTACATGCCCTTGACCAGAATCGAACCTGGGACCTTTCAGTCCGTAGTCCGACGTTCTACCACAGAGCCAAACCGGTTTCGGCACAATTATGTATTTTCTAATGGACTTATTTCATGATAAAAAAGAAAGGAATAGTTTGAAATATATGTGTATATTGTACTTCATGTTTGTGTTTTCCTGAAGTTCAACTGTAGGGTTTAAAAACAATTCCAATCAACAGAAAGGATACTATTTAGTCCTTTCCGAATTCACTTGTTTTTCAGACAAATACGGCAATAAAATATCTGTTTAAAGGTAATGAGTTTCAGAGATGATTTATCTGTGTACTTTTTCTCTCTCTTATTTTAGTATTCCTTCTTTAATTAGGCATGGCACACTCTAAAAGCTACTGACACTTGACAGCAGAGTGTTAGACTGGTTTGTGGTCAATAAAATAAAATAAGGCCATTTCCCTAAACCAGATGGCCCAAAGATAAAACAGAAATGACTTGTGTCAAGAACACTTTTCTGTCCTAATTGGTGGGTGATTCTCTGTGAAAAGGGTGGTCCTACTGCAAACCACATCATACTATCATGTGGCAGAAACAAATTACAAAGCTCAACATGCTAGCGTTGAACGGCATTAAATTCCAGAAGAGACACTTTGCTTTTAAATGCTTCCCATAATTTGAAAAATATCCTTCTTAAATTCCTACCATCACCTTCCATTTGTACAACTAACTTTCTGAATTACAAAGTCATTGTCTTTTTAGACACAGATAGTGATAGTGTGACACTGTAAATAAAAGTGTAACCAGATGTTTCATTTGTAAAGTCTAACATAAAATTTATTTTTAAAAATGTCGCCTAAAATGTATGTCTGTGCATTTTTTATCACTTTATTTTTTTAAATTTAATTCTTTATTGCTGAAAACATTAAATATGCTCCCTCCCTCCCCACTGTCCTCTCCCCGCCTGCCCCCGCACTCCAATGCCTATGCATTTTAGGTTTAAACCTCAGTTCTTATGAATAAACTATTTTGTCAATAAAATAATAAAGCTCCTAATTTTTTTATACTTTATGCTTTCAGATGTGTTTCTCATGTAATTTACCTCTTTAATTTTTATAAAGCCTGGAATTTGAACTAAGATCTTATGGCTCTGAAATGGCATGAAGAAATTCATATCACCAAAGAAATGAAAGAAACTTTCAGTTATGAAGTAATGAAGGGAATTAATACCCCAAACAATCAAAGCTGAAGAGAGTGGTAAGTCCAAGTAACAAACTGAAAAAGTCTGAAAATGAGAGAAGGTTATAGAAATGTAGGGACTGTAGTTTTCACAATCCTGAACTAAAAAATGTATCAACTAAAAGTGACCAGTTTCAGCTTGCACTCCCAGTAGGTTGTTTGGAGGCAAATCATATTCCATCCCTTATTATGTAACTGACCTTGGGCAAATTACTTAAGTTTTTCAGTTTTCATATGTAAAGAGGAACCAACCCTACGATGAGATCACTGATAGATAACACGTGTGTCTAGCAAGGTAGATGCTGTTCCCTTCCTTCTGCCAGCCTCGGAGTAATTTGTCTCTTTTTCCCTCCACCTAAGCATTTCTGGTCATGGGGACATAGGTCAGAAGTGGAAAAGGGAATTGTTTATATAGTTCTCTTTTATAAGAGAAAGGGCAAGTTGTACAATAAAACTGTACTATAATCCAGGTAGTGGATTATAAGATAAGGATGTACAATTTCTGAACTGTTAACTATTCATATACCTGGAATAATATGTAAAAAATAAAATAAAAAAAACCATAAAGGAAGACTTAACGTTTTTCAGAAACTTTTTACAGCCATTATATTCTACCTGACTTAATTCCAGCAAAACATGGATTTACAACACACCACATCACTTGAAGTGTATTATATGCCTACCAAGTTCAGAATATTGCACTTGAGGGCTAATACACAACTTACTGAACACAAAAGAGGAGCGTGGTAGCTGATAATGTTACCCTTTTAAGAGATCAAAGTCAACTTATAGGATTAATTATATGTAAGAATCAAATTAATGCTTATGATAAAACTGGCTACCATCAGAATTTAGAACAAATAAAATTTAACAGCCAATTTTTAAAAAGATTATAGTGAGGACATTTTGGCATTAGAATGTTGACATTCCACTCTTTAGAATACCTAGGGGAAGAATGTTTTATGTTCATGTGAAAAGTAAGAGGCAATTCTGACTTATGTAGAAAAACTGACAAGAACTTTGAAATGCACACTTATAAACCCAAATTCTGATGTGGGAGCAGGCTGAAAGAGACTTCATTCATTCATTTGTTCATTCATTCAACACATATTTATTGAGAGACTTGGGTCATGTGAGATAGGCATACAGATTGGGCAATGCAAGAAAAATGGTATCAGTAATGGTGAGATTAAGAAGCCAACTAAAAGGAAAGGGCAGATATGTAATATTTTGCTAAGCATCCTCTGATACACTATCCAGGAAGAGGACATTTTTAAGCATTTAGAAACAGAACAGTGGGGCACAGGAGAAGTGAAACAGTAGCATTAATTGCTGAGGCTCTAATACTTTTATGCTTGTCTATCAAACTCATTCAGGTACACAATTTCCCTATTAGCTTAATAATCAGGCTGTATTTTTTAAAAAATCCAAATGAAGACTCCATTTTTTATATGAGTTTCTCTACTTAATCTGTAAAACCAATGTCAAATAATTTATATTTGCTTAGATAGAACAATAACTACTTTCTCCTACATGCTTTCCTGGAGCTTAGAAACTAAGAGTTGCATGTTCTTTTACCTAATGTGTATTCTACTATAAATTCACCTTTGTGGTAGCATTCCAGTGAGAATTTCTTCATGAGACCAAAAGCTGAATTGTCTGATAGCTATGGTCTTGGTGCTCTTTATATTAACATCTACTATGGGAACAGCCAATGACCCAGAGCATTAGGAAATTTTAAGAAAAAAAAAAAAAAATGACATCAGATGTAACATCAGCTGAAAACACTCTGATGGGCCACTAATCTACTTAAAATATTAGGATCTTCATTCACCAACAATAAAAACTCAAAAGGGATGTCTCAAAGGCCCAAGAAGTCAGTAATTTTGAAGAACTATATAAACAATTCCCTTTTCCAGATAACGAATCAGCCAGATAGGAACTTTCTTACAGAAAAAGGATAAAATTAAAATATCTTATGAAATGCCCTTATTTTTCCTAATTTTTAAAAAATACGTTCAATAATCTTTCCCTGAAATTATTATTATTGCATATATAACTCTAAAGTTTCCTTAAGGTTTCCTCTGGTATCAAGGTTTGCAGTCCTTGTTTTTCCTTCATTAGAAATGCAATTGTGCAGGGTGTGTAATAAAATAAAAATCTCAGTTTTAAGGTGCCAAATTAATAAAAAAAAATCCAGCAGTAAAAGCTTATAGTCCATGGGCTCTATATATCTGTCAATGACCCCATTCAAAAGCACAATACAGAAAGAAATGCTCAGGGGGAAACTACAAAGCGAGGATTCTTTTAGGTATGTAGAAGAGATAGGCTGATAACACAAATTTGAGGAATCATAATTTTTTTTTCAATTTGTAAATCTGTTTAAAACATTTATATATTATTTATTTATTTGGTAATTGGAAAAACTCATTTCTAAATTTCTCTCTTTTGCTGCTCACTTTTGGATCACTATGTGGCTTATTACCACTTCTACTAGAAGATTGTAAAGAAAGAGTAAAACCAAAATCAATCAATATACTATTGCTACCAATTATGAGACATGAAGAGAGGGTTCAACAATGTTTTGATTGTTTATTATACCAGACCTTCATTTCCCTATGATCTTTCTCTTACTTTTATGTCACTTAAGTAATTTTAGTCTTTTTTTCATTTGGGTTGGGATCCATGAAAAATAGATAAGATTCATAATATATTTTTAAAGATTAGTTTTCCTTTTGATATTCCACTACCCTAATTTATATATTCCTATTGAAATTAGCCTTTAAAATAATATAATGGATAGTAGAACTGAAATGTTTGGTAATATACATTAAAATATCCATGCCAATAGCTAGACTGTCCAAAATGGCATGTGGAATCATACAACATCTTACCACTTTTCCCTTACATCAATTTTTTCCCCTCTCTCTCTAAAAACCACTAGATATAAATACCACTAACCTCTGATAAACTCCCATCAATCCCACTGTGATTCCCAAAACATTACATTTGAAGATGGTTTTCTACCAAAGAAACACACACCCCACCTTACTTTGTGGCTACAGCAACAGCCTATTAGCTACTCTTTTCGACTTAATATAGGGACAGGGGCCTTTTAGCAAATCAAAAGTCCACCAGAGAGACAGATGCCAGCTGTTCTCAGGAGGGGCACTATGAAGCCTGTAGAAGCCAGAGGGGCTCCTGAGGACTTTGCCCACAGCCCTGAGGTGGCCTAGTAGGGAAGCAGCTTTCATTTTCCACAGAGAGAGAGACTGGGATGGCTGATAGGTACACAGAGCAGCCCCGGGTGAGCTCACAACTGCAAGCGTGAGATCATTCTGGCATGGCAGTAGTAGTGTCTTACTTACTAGGAGGTAGGAGAGGTCATGAATCTATGATGTGGGAATGAGGGTGTGGCAAGGGAGAAGAGAAGAGCAGAGAACCTGCCCTCGAGAGGGGAAATCCACTTGGTATAATGTCTGCTTCACATTCAAAACCTGCTTATGGTGCTCTGATTCTCAGTGGTTGTTCGTCTTTTTCCTCTCATTTCAACATGAACAGGTCTGAATAAAGGTTACAAGTCTCACAAGAGTCGATGGTAAGTAGTAACATTCCATAAATACTCTATTTCTTCTTTTGTCAGATATCATGGTATGAAGATATTTATTATTTAATATTTCATGCTTTATTTAGACTCAGAAGCATGTTTTTAAGGTACTTAACAATCACTAGCAAATACATAGTGGACATTTTAAGATCTCCATTACACAGTATAGCATTCATTTAAAATGAAAAATTGTTCATTAAAGAGATTACAAAGAACTTCTATACAAAGAAACTTAAAGACAGGCTTATATTATTTATAAGGAGTCTACATTAAATTGCTTGCTTTTAAACAGCAGCAGGCATAGCAAGATGGGGGTGTTTTAACTCCCATTTTCCTTACATTTGGGTTTTTAAAGATTATAACCCATTATTAATTCCAAAGATAATCGAAGCCTCTTAAAAGACTTGAGAAATAAAAGGGAAATCAGGTTTAAAAAATAGGACAAGAAAAATAATCATTTCTGGGTCGGCCTTGGATGATGTCATCATAGGTTCTAAATGTAATAGCCAGGCAGTGTACACTAACTCTTCCTGCACATGTAACCTCTAACATCAATTTGGGCAAAACAACTAATATTTTAATAATTTTTTGGCTGAAAAGTGAGATTCAGAAGCAAAAGATTAAAGAGAGTTTAGAGTGCCAAGGATGAAACGATATGAGAGTGTGTGTGTGTGTGTGTGTGTGTGTGTGTGTGTGTGTGTGTGAGTGTGTGTGTGTGTGTGTGTGTGTGTGAGCGCGCACGCGCACGCGCTGGGGACCAAGGGGAGGAGGCATGAAAACTAACTCTTCCAGCACACACCCCTTTTGCTACTACAAGGACATCCAGCAATCACATTTGCAATAGTAAAAATGCTGAAGGATCCTACAGTATTTTTTCTTCCACAACCATCCCTATCCCCTCCGACAAAGCCCTTCTTGCTTTATTGGAGCCAGGAAATTCTTCAGGGGTTAAATGGGGAAGTGCAGCCACTACCATTGTTGCAATAAATAAATGAATGAACCAGAACGAACCAGCAATCCATCCCCAGGAAGCAAGTTATCTTATTTTCTACAATTATACACAGTAGCCGGCAACCATATATTTTTAAAAATTGTGTTTTATCTTTTGATAGCTGTGTATACATTATAGATATACATGAATCTATATAAAAAGAAGCTTAGTGCCCTGCATAACACATACATCAAATCCTTCTAAAATATTTTTTAGCATTATTATTTTACTGAAAAGACAAATAGCTTTTTAAAAATTAGATATAATAGCAACCTCATCTTAAAGGCCTTTTATTTTGCACATACAACATATATAAATACACACACACACATACACACACACACACACACACACACACACACACACACACACAAAGGTTCCCCCCCACCCCCCATGCCGTAGACAATGCTAAAATATCTGAGATCAGGTTGCTATGCCAACAGATTTTTTCTAAAATGAATAAAATTATTAGGAGGGAGAAAACATTCTTGACTCCTTTCCTCCCATCCATGAAGCCGAGAGAGGCTCAGGGAGGGCGAGAGGCTGCCAGATGGGGAGGAGGGGAAGGAAGGGAAGGTGAGTAGAGGGGTGTTTGCTTACCAAAGATGCTGATTTGATCGTGGCAAAGCGCTCTCTGTTCCGGTAGTGGAGGGCCTGGCTCTGAACTGACTGGGTAGGCCGTGGCTCAGGCCTGGGATCGCCGTGGCCCGCCTCATCCCTTATGAATACATGATCCTGCAGAAATGGATAAAAACAAGGAGAAAGTCCAGCTGTGCTCTTTCCTCGCCGGCTGCCTCTCTCTCACCCCTCTTTCTGCACAAGCACTGCTGTTTGAAATGCATAGTTTAGCTCTCTGCTAGTCCCCGCAGCTCCCACGGTACAAAATGAATAAGCAACACATTGCAGCCTTCAGTTAGGAATGTCAGCTGATCGCTAGTGGGATGCCTTCTGAATCCCTGGCAGGCTTTTTCTTTACCTCCAGAATCACATATATGCAAAAGAAAAAAAAAATAGAAAAAACAATGCAATGTACAGACTCCTTAGAACAGTTTGTTTAAAACGCTGTAACCAAATAATTCCTTTAAAAATGTCATGTCCATGTCTAGCAAGGAGGATGCTGGTTGCTTTTAACATAAAAGCGAGCCTCCGCCTCATTCCCTTGAAAGATCTGCTTTCTCAATTTAATTTTATTTGCGCTCTGTTCGGTCGGATCATCGTTCTGCCTAGAACCAGTGTAGGCTTGTGCTGAACTGCCTCTCTATCTTGTGCTGAGAAGATTCGGCAGTCACTGAGGGATCCTGCTTTCCAGTCATGATCGTACACAGTTCTAGCACCTTCTCTTTACAGCTTCTGAAAGGATTTTTTTTTTTTTTTAGATTTAAAGAGACAGGCATACAATTTTAACCAAATGATACTTTCACAAATTCTTCCTCAACTCAGTCTCGGTATGCTCACCAGTGTGAGAGAAGCTGGAATTTAATGCCCTTGACTGATTTAATCAAGCCCATGCTTCTTGATAGGCAAAGGTGATTAGTCTTATTGTAACACCCAGTGAAAAATAACACTCCCTGGAAGGATAGCAATGGATGTTTCTTAAATGCAACTGAGATGACTTTTAAAGGGGAAAATGCTTTCAAAGGGTGATGTGTCTCGCTATAAAAGATGGAGTGGTCAGTCAGTAAGTAGGTCTAATCCTGCAGAAAAGAAGATACTATAATAATTAATAGCTCAAAAACATGTACAACCATGGGGGATTTTTAAATAGTGCATGTTCAGGACAGTGAAGGAGAAATTAATTCTCTTATTTCCCTAGGGGTTTAGGAGAAACCATTTGTGAAAATTCAGTTTTGCATTTTGCCCATGACTACTTAACATTTTTTAATAATTGCCCTTTTTTTTTCATTAGCAAGATTAAAGGGTTAGAAAATATAAAATTGTATTATATACTCTAAAATGTTGATAAGTCAAAACACATATATTCCTTGAGGGATATTAAATTTTACATCCAGGTTTTTATGTAAAAGCCAACAGCCAAGATTAAATTTATCATTGGGTTGCTTTTCTTTATCCTTTTATAAATTTAGAATGCTTCATAATTTTGGGATGGTAGCTCCCATTATATATATATTTAGAGATTTTTTTTTTCAATTTACTGTATTGTGGTCTATTTAAGAAATAATAATTAAGGGACTCTAAATGCCATCGAGGGCACATATATCAATTTTAAGGGATGTTCTACTATAGTACTGTGCCATAAGATAGCCACATGGATATTTAAATTAAGTTAAAATGCAAAATTCAGTTCTTAAGTCACATCAGCTATGTTTCAGGGAGACACTAATTATGGCTACCATATTGAATGGTGCAGATATCATTTCCATCACTGCAAAAAGTTCTGTTAGAGCTGAAGATTAAAAATGCATTTAACCCATATTTTTCAATTTTGTAAAATAAATACCGTAGGTCAGTTAATTTTTTTTCTAAATATATTTTTATTGATTTTTTTATTTATTTTTTTAACAGAGAGAAAGGGAGAGTGATAGAGAGTTAGAAACACCAATGAGAGAGAGAAACATCGATCAGCTGACTTTTGCACACCCACTGCGGGTGTGCCCGCAACCAAGGTATGTCCTTGGCCAGAATCAAACCTGAAACCCCTCAGTCCACAGACACTCTATCCACTGAGCCAAACAGGTTAGGGTTCAATATTATTTTCTGGAAAATCTAAACTCTTATTTCACAGGGAAAAGAAAGATTAGGTGTCGGACTAAAATTTATGCACTAAGTTTAGGTTTCAGAGAGAAAGGTCACCATCATGCTGCTGAACATTCATTAACAAATTACATTTACCTCCCAAATTGGTCTTTCTTAATATTGCAGTACCAGAAAAGCAAGAAGCTTTTAAACTCCAGCAACCAGAAGAGATAGACTAGGTAGAGGCCTGAGGAGTCATAGTTTTTGGTGAGGATTAGTTAGGTTACATTAAGTACATCGACTGAGACCTCAAGTGTTACAAGCAGCCATTGTTTCAAATTCTTATGACTTGATTTACAATGATAACCAGTGACACTAGAATCCATACTCCTCACATAACAAAATAAAACAAATTTATGTGTAAATATGTATAATTTTAATATTATTTCTTTAATTTCTCTCATATAAAAATGAACACTTTTGAATTAGGATCCTGCTTATCAAATTAAAAGTCACATTCTATCAGCTAAGTTTTTAAACTCAAGGATCTTGGAATACACTGGACCAAGTGAAAACTCAAAATCATAGTGATTTTGGTTGACATATAGCTAATTAATCCAGTAAGATCTATTTTTATAATAATGCTATTTTAGAAGTTAGTCTGAAGAATAGATACAAAATTTTAATATATTTTAAATATAATGCTGTTTCTTTACTTAATACCCTTATTTAATTTATTTTCTTTTTACAAAAAAGAGTGTTTAGTTTTCCATAGCAGTTTCATAACAGATCACCAACATTAAGGTATGCATGAGATCACAAAGTGAGGCAAATGAGTAGGTATCCACTTCACATACATAGGGAAGTGAATTTTAAAACAGTCATTCCTTTGCATAAAACAAGTTCAAAACTCTGAAGACAACTTAAATAATCAAGCCATTAAAATGGGGAAATATGACTTGAGAAGCAAGTATGAGCAAATTAAACTATAAACTTCACCAGGATATACTGTCTATTGGTTACTGTCCCTTTAAGTAGCAACCAGTCCCTTTGAAAATGACTACACTTGGCTCCCAGAATTTCTGAATTAAACACATTTTAAGACTAATAGTGGAAAAGGTGAGTTTGCTATTTTATGCAGTTAGGCACTTATGAAAATTATTTACAAATGATGGAAGGGCCATCTTCTTTGATGTTGAAGAATGGTTTTAGAATACGAAGAGTAATTATCATTTTCTACTTTATCAAGACATAATAGCCCTGGCTGGTATGGCTCAGTTGGTTGGAGTATTGTCCCATACACCGGAAGGTTGCAGGTTTGATTTCTGGTCAGAGCACATTCCTGGGTTTCAGGTTTGCGGTAAGGGCGTGTATGCTTCTCTCTCTCTCTAAAATAATAAGAATTAAAAAAAAGCACACACCCATATCCTCAGGTGATTTTAATTGTTTCCAAAACCATTAAAAATATTGCTTAAAAATAAATATGTTGGTTATAATTTATCTTTAAAACATCATCCAGAAACAAACAAACTAGCTTTTTGAAATACCAATATGATCTGGGACCAAATTTAAGTAAATCTATATTATCTTGGTAAATTTATAACATTCTTTCATCATAAAAAATAAAACTTCTTCAGATTAAAAAACAAGCTGGTGTAATATCTGTTCCAAATCTTTAGTCAAAAGAATTGAACTTTTATACAACATAGTAAAGTATGTGAAACATGAGGCATGCACTTTTTACTATTACACCCTGGATAATGGGGCTTTACTTTTAGTTAGAAGTTTTTCCCTAAATGTCTGAATAGTTATGCTTCTAAAATGAAGATTTATGAGCCTAACTTGAAATTAATTCTAGAAATCACTCCTATCAACTCTAAGTTTTGGGTATGCCTTTGTCATACTACTCAACACATTTACTTATTTATGCAAGAAATTGTGGGATTTTTGAAGGCAGAGTAAATGTGGTTTGAAAAATCTCAGTCACTCTAGCACCTAGCATATTGCTTGGTAACTAGTAGGCATTCAGTAAATGTTTCCTGAATAAGTAAGTTAAAAAATATAGGTCTGAGATGTTAGAAAAGTGGCATTTTCTCCTTATTATCAACACAATTAAAATCTGTATTTCACAAAAACCTGTCACTCTATACTTCAAGAAAGTTGTAAAATAGTCACACACACACACACACACACACACACACACACACACACACACACACCTTTACATGGTGGAACCTAATAATGGCTTTTATGTGGTGACAAGAAACCTTTATATAGATTCTAACACTTTTCATGCTGTGGAGAAAGGATCAGCAAACCCACTAGCTCTTTTGTTTTGTTCATTTCAAAATTATTATATTAAGTTATTTCCTAGGCAGGTGTATCCCCTGTCAAAACCTGGGGATAAAGGAAGGGGAGAAGATGGGAAAGGTTACCTTAAGCTGGAAGGATAGCCATTAGGAAGGAAAATGACTAGCAGAACACTGAGGATACAGATGTTACTATAGTGAGGTGGTGTGCAGAGTGATCTGTGTAAGAAACTTTACTTTCATATGTTAATTTACTTTCACTTTGCCAAATGTGAGTTGAAGAGTCAAAGAACCCGCCCTGGTCTTCAGCAAAAATAATAGGAAAGGCAACTGAAGCAAAGGGAAAATTAAACTAGAACATCCTATTCCCTCAAGGACATTTTCTTTTCTTCCACAAAATTGGTCAGAGCTGTTCTTTTTTTAAAGAAGGGAAAAAACTGACTCATAAGAAGGGCCAAATAAAGCTTTAGGAGTTAGGATAGAATGATTTTTAGAAATATTTGCTGAAAGGGGGCCATGATGACTAGAGTTCTTTAGGGATATCTAAAATAACAAATAAATGCAGAAAACTTTTAATATATGAAAGTGTAATGAGCTATATGAATAGAAGACAGCAGCAGGCAAAGATAACTCATTTTATACTTTATCAAAACAAAGTATACCTTTAGTTGACAAATTAAGAAAACAGACTTTGTTGCTCTCTGTATTCCCACTTAAAATAGTGGCTTAGAC